AAGGTATATAAGATGTTCCGATGTTTTTTTTTTATTGGTAACATGTCATAATGTCATTATATAATTTCCAATCATGTTTGGTATATCAATATTTTGTAACGTATGGTATTAAATATCAATAATTGATACAAAAATTTCATAAGTTTAGGCTAAGTTTAACTCATCTTGATACACCATTGACAATTTTGTACTAGATTTTTTCTCTATGCAACTAATATTAAAAAATGCAATTTTCTAAAAAATGTTATGAACTTCATTTATTGATAGATAAAAAAATAGTTTTAAAAAAACTAAAAAAAAATTTATATCACATACGATATTGATTTTTATATAGAGTATTTTATGCAAATACTCATAAAGATATAAATAAAAAAAATTTATATAAAAGACTATCATTTTGCTAAAAAATTGTAGAAACTATATAAATTTAGATAATATAAAAATCAAATTCTGTAAAACAAATATGTGATCAATAATTTCAAAAAAATTTAGATTTCACAAATTTTTTACAGGTGTTTATCTATAACGAAAAGATTTCAAAAGAATACGCTAAATTCTAGAGCAAGTATTTAAATGAAAATATTTATATATAATCATATGGTTCACTTTCATATTAAACATTTGAAAATGATGTTTGAATTTGTATAAATAGAAATTGTGAGTATAAATCTTAAACATCGTTTAAGTATATCAATGTTAGTATATATATATTAAAATAATTTTAAAAATCATCTAAATAGTTGTTCCGCGCAACGCGTGGATTTTCACTAGTTATATAATAGATTTCAGTACCCGTTTGGAAAAAAAAAACAAATCTTAGTTTTCATCGATCTTGAAAAATAAAAGAGAACCTTTAGGCTCTTTTTAATTACTTAGATTTGTTAAAGATATTATGGTGGAAATGATTTTTTAATAGATTCTACTTTGATTGTATTTTAAAAGTAGAACATAAAAAATAGTGTTTCATGAAATCTCACTTAAAGAAATGTTTATGGTCAATGTCATGTGTAATAATAATATGTGAGTTTTCTTATACTTGAGAAAAGGACTATGAAAAATGAAGTAGATATCTCTCATATGTAATATTTTTTTTGCTTTCAATTCTCTGATATGCAATGTAATTCATTAATATTTAAAATTATCTTCTCAACATAAGTATGTTCGGTGGAAAGGAAAGAAAACTACAAAAATAAAAATAAACAACTGATAAATTTCGAAATTAGGTTATGGCATAAATTTTGCAGCTTTTTGTGCTTCTTTTGAGTGCATAGCGTCAAATTCACCCCATACTTTACATATTGCCCATAAACCTAATCTTCTAATCCTTCGATATTAATAAGCGGAGATGACATTTTCATCGATGCTTCGGTCGCACAACAATAACATTACTTTATAATCTATATATATAGAGACAAATAATAATCGACTAACATTTTTAATTCTTCCTTTGACATTTTGTAAACCCATAAAATACATATTTTATTAATGGTTCCATTTCTCTTTTGCCTCTTAAAGTATTTCCTTGGACAAATTAACTGAATATGTTATTTGACAATTTTTAGAAATAAAATCAAGATCATTGTTCGGTATTCTGTTTCTTAAAATTCCGAAGAATACCAAATTTCTCCCTTTAAAGAAAAATGTGCAAATAAGATCTTATTACCGTTTTTTTATAGAATTGGAAGGCTTTTCTTATCACAAGATTGATAAATATAATATAAAATTGTTAAATGGCATATTTAAGTTACAAATATATAAGATCTCTTGTG